ATCTAAATACAATATATTGTATGAAATACACAAGAATTCAATAGAAAAACGGGGGAAAGAGACCAGTGATGTTTTGATGGAAAGTTGGATATGTTTTTCAAGTTGTGCCAAAGGATACTTACAGGTGCAGAAGTCCAAATCTTGGGGGTGCTTTGAACTCTTAAGAGCACACTGTGCATTTTTTACTTATGGTTCTCCAATATTTTAAGACACATTTAACATTTTGTTTTCAGTTCCACACTGGGAGTAATTGGCCATATCATAAAACGTGTGTGTGTGTGTGTGTGTGTGTGTGTGTGTGTGTGTATGTGTGTGTGTGTGTGTGTGTGTGTGTTTAATGCAAGGCAAATCTTTTCTGTTAATCTTATATGGGCAAATACTCTTCTAATATTTATATTTGTCTATCTGAAGGACAGCCGTGGTTCAGTAGTGCCTCCTAAGATATGACTTCCATTAAATGTTTGGGAGGCAACTTGATGCATTATACAAATACAAAACTTCAAAGTGAATTGCCCTTTGTTCCCAATTTATGACCAGGAATGGCAACCCCATCTTTGAGTGAGGGCAGAGAGAGTCGTTGGTGATGCTGCCGCCCTTGTGTTTTATTCTGGCAGAGCTTGCTGACAGACATGCAGGGTTGGTGAGGTGTGAGAAACTTATGTGTTATTCTCTGTCAGGATGCCAGAGAGATGGATGTTGACAGCGCACTGAATATTAAGCCTCATACATGTTTGTCGACAAGCCTGCTTTGTATTAAAGAATTTCTTAGCGGAGTGTGTATGTGTGATCATCCTTGTTATTCATGTGCTATCAAGAGCTGACAGTCAAGAAGGATTGCCCTAAACATTAAAACATTCTCATTTTTGAAGATTCTTGAAGCTTTATCATCATAATGGGTAAATCATTGCTTGGTGAATGCTGTTATTTCATCTTTCTGCGTAGCAGATACTCCTCGCCAAAAGCTGTTGTAGGAAATAATTTGGGGAGCCCTTTTTGATAAAATTGGTATTTGGGCTGGGAATATAGCTCAGTGATAGAGTATTTGCCTTGCGTACAAAAGACCCTGGATTCAAGCCTCAGAACCAACATCACCACACATACACAAAAATTGATGTTTAAAAGGGGCTGGGGACATGGCTCAAGGGTTAAGAGCGTGAACTGCTCTTGCAGAGGACCTAGGCTTGATTTTCAGCATGCATATTAGGTGATTTACAACCATCTATAACTACAGCTTTAGGGGGATCAGATGCCTCTGGCCTCTATGGGCACTTGCACGCAAAGCACACACACACACACACACACACACACACAAACACAAAATAAAATGAAAATATTTTTAAAATGAAATTGGTGTTTAAGATGGTCTCCATGTTACTGTCCAGCATCCTTTAATAAAGTGAGGCAAAGATCCTCTGAAGTTGTGGAAGCAGGAGAATGTCTGTCTCTGATTAATTAGAATGCCTGTTGCCAGGGGCCAGCAAGGGCTAACGGTGATGCCTTGGGGTGCTTTGCACAGAGGCAGCTGCTTGCTGAGAGTTCATCTCAGTGACCAGTTGTGAGAGAGAGAGTTCTCTTCACTCATGGTTCTTTTATTCTCTTTCCCCTGTATTTTTTTTTTGTCTTTTACTCATTGTTTTCCATAAATGACTGTAATTTCCATAGTAAGAACTGTAAGCATGACTTATTAAACTTTTTCATATTAATTTTAGGAAACTATTAATTCTTTAACCTTTTTATATTTACCTATTTTGTGTGTGTGTGTGTGTGTGTGTGTGTGTGTGTGTTTTAAGTGCAAGGCAGAGGACAACTTGCTGGAGTTGGTTTTTTTGGGTCTAGAGGTTCAAATGCAGGTCATCAGGCTTGGTGCTAAGTGCCTCAACCCCCTGAGAGATCTTTCGAGCCCAGGAACTTGTTAATTTGTGTATTTTATCAATAGATTTATCTGATCTCTGATACAATGTAAATACATTGAGAAGATCCCCATTTACTGACAAGTTATGGACTTTGGTGTCTGAAGTGATGGAGCCAGAATCTCTCTGTCTGCAGGTTTGTGAATGGTACATGTGTGAACTGAATGAGTCTGTGTTGCTATGTGAATTTTAACAGAAATAGCTCACATAGATTGCTTTGCCAAGTCACAAAAAAAGGCTGGTTTTACAGCTGAGATCTAATGCTGTATATAGGTCCTTATTTTGTGATTGAGATTCTGTCTGTGAAAACTAGGCTTTAAAAGAGTGTAGGAAAAATAGAGGACAACTTTTTGTTGCCTTTTAACTACTAGAATGTTGACTCCACCAAGTGGATTAAATGTAGTCCAAGCAAAGCAGATGGTTCTGCTGAAGTCAAGACTGAACAGTCACCACTGAAGCCTATCTGTGTTTGGCCTTAGAATGTTCAGATTGTTAGACTGCTGAGGTTTTTGTCTCCCTTTTAAAGACAGCTCTTTCTTTTAATTTTTTTTTTTAATTCACATAAAACACCAGGATATTTGGTTTCTATCTTGGTGTCAGGTCTCTAAAATTTCTTTTTATCAAAGTTAACAAAATATTAGCAAACTCTTTCTTCATTGTTCATTTCTGTTCTCTTCTGTCACATGGGATGTCTCAGCTTGTTAATAATAGTTTATGAAGAATTAGAATGACACTCAGAATAAAAAGAGTTTTCTCTCACTTTGATGGAAAATATATTCTTCAACTTTGGTTATTCCATGGACTCTTGAAATGGGGAACTAGACTGATATGTCTCTAAGTTCCTCTCAGTATTAAGACTATGACTCTCTGAGAGATTATAAGAAAAATTCATCAGTTTTATGTAGAAATGTAGAGAAACTAAAGAAAACCTCAAATTTGGAGAAAATTCTGTTATTAATATGTTGACTCTAATAATTTAAACTTTATTATTGTGTGTGTATTTGTGTGTGCATATGAGAGAGAGAGAGAGAGAGAGAGAGAGAGAGAGAGAGAGAGAGAGAGAGAGATGGCATGCATGTGAAGATCAGAGGACAACTTACAGGAGTCAATTTTCTCTACCACGTGGGTTCTGGGGATTGAAATCTGGTTTATCAAGCTGGCTCTAAGCTCTTTTACCCACTGAGTCACCTTGCTGGCCTAATTCTAGCAATTTTTATAAGAAATCAAACAGAATGATGGTAGAAAGTAAGTCTGTTTTCTTCATTTGAAAAAGTTCTATTTTTTAAACTTTA